GGACTTTACGAGAAAACAGCCTTTACGAGAAAATAGCTATGCCCGCGTTTATTTCCTCGTAAAGTCCTAGTAACAGTATTACTAGGACTTTACGAGGGAACATCCTTTACGAGGAAACAGCTATGCCCGCGTTTTCGGTTACTAGGGTTTTACGAGGAAAGGGTTTGTAAATCCCTAAACTCGAAACCCTAAACCCCAAACCCCAATCCCCAAACCCCAACTTTCTTAACTTATAACCTCTTATACAACCAAACTCCTAACCTCTTCCACACATAAATCCCAAATGCAAATTAATTTTGTGATTAAACAAACTCAAAACAAACATAATTCAAATTCATTTTTTTGATTAAACAAAATTATAAACATACATAATTCATTCGGATACATTCTCGTAATATGTTGAAATATCATCATTTTTGTAAAACTCGTCCTCTACACCTTCGTCCGTCGAGTGATCAGGAACATCTTCATATTCACGATTATGCGGATCAATGAGTAGGATGTCATCAATTTCTGCTTCAGGTTCCTCGATCTCATTGGTGTTTTCTTCTTGCAATGGTTGTTCTTCTCCAGCGATTATTCGTCCTCGAGGTGTAACTTTGATAACAGCTAACCAGTTTATTCCCGAGGTAGTAATCCGAGGGTATGAAATGAAGCAAACTTGATCTGCTTGGGAAGCTAATATGAAAGAATCAAACTTGTTGTACCTGCAAAAATAAAGAAAACGTAGAAATTAATTAATACTCGAAACTGGGATATAAAAAAAAAGAATTTATTGTACCTTCGTCCACCATTGACATCAACTATACCGTTCTTGTTAATCCAAACACCTCTGTTGACGACGGGGTCGTACCACTCACACTTGAAGATAACGCATTTCAAACTCATACCTGGGAATTGAACTTCATAAATCTGCTGCAAGATCCCGTAGAAATCTGTTTCGCCTTTTACACATATTCCATAATTACTTGTGGCCCGGTGTCTACCATAGTCATAGGTATGAAAAGTATAGCCTCGGGTGAAATACATCGATGATTCAGTGACCTTTGCAACTGGACCTTGAAGTAATTTGCGAAACCATGTGGGATACTCAGGATCGTCATAATCAACCTGCAAAAAAGTAATAGAACTAGACATTAGACTTACTTTGTGCTAATGAATGCATAAAATTTAAGCTATAATAAATACATGTTTCCTTAACCACTTGATAAAGTGTTGATCTTTTCTTTTGTCTAACTCAGTTGTCGATATACCAGGAATTGCTTCTTCGACTTGAGTCACAAATTGGCTGTAAAATCATATATGTTATGTTATTTAATATTGAAATATATATATATATATATATAAGTGTGTATGTTTATTTACTTACCTTTCAAAATAACCAATCAATGGATGCTCGCAATTAAGAAGAATATAAAGGTGTGCACTTTGGACGTCTTCATCACTCGACCACCAAACCTCTTTCAATTTCCCACCCAATCGCCCAATTTTACACAAGATGTCTGGAACATCGTCTTCCATATATGTCGGCACAACACTACCATCATCATATCTTCTTGGAGTTCGTTTCCTTGTACGTACTTTCGGTGCAAAGTAGTACGATGTGAAATGTGATGTTTCTTCCGTCAAACTTCCCGCAACAATAGAACCTTCAACTCTTGCTAAGTTTTTGGCTTTTCCTTTCAAAGTTTTCATGGCCCTTTCATACTGATACATCCATCCATAATGCACAGTTCCACGAAGTAATGCCTCATACGGGAGGTGGACAACTAGGTGTTCCATGACGTCGAAAAAAGTAGGCGGAAATATTTTCTCCAAGTTGCAGATTAAGACGAGGATGTTTTCAAGAAGTTGTTGGACAACTTCCACTTTAAGAGTGCGGATGCTCAGATCCCTAAAAAATGCTCCAATTCCTTATATATTACAAAAACAAAAATTATCCACATTAGTATATATATATATAAAGAAATAAATTAATCATATGATCGTATTATATTAATTAATTACCTGAAAGTTCTTCATGTACTTTTTCCGGTAGTAGCTCCGCAAATTCAAAGGGAAGCAGTCGCTGCATAAAGACATGACAATCATGGCTCTTCATCCCGGAGAAATTTTGCCCTTTCTCAACACATCTTGAGAGATTTGAAACATACCCATCATGAAACTTAACTTCTGAAGCCACCTAGTTGAACAACGCAGACTTTTTTCTAATGACAGTCTAAATATCGGAACTGGAACTTGTCCATTGCTTTTTATATGTAGCTCACTCCTTGAGCAGATATCGTGTAAGTCCAACCTCGATTTTACGTTGTCTTTCGTCTTCCTTGGGACATTCAATATAGTGTTCACAATGTTCTCAAAAAAGTTCTTCTCTATATGCATCACATCGAGGTTGTGGCGCAAAAGAAGATGTTTCCAATATGGCAATTCCCAAAATATACTCTTTTTGTGCCAATTGTGTTGAACACCATAAGAATCATGCATATTACTGGGAACATGCCAATTCCCACCACGAGAAGCTGTTTCTAGAGCACTGTAGTAATCGATTTGCGCTTCGATTTGTTCTCCAGTTAAATGTGGAGGAGGAGTATCTCTGACAACCCTTTTGTGCTTGAACAATTTCTTGTTTCTTCGGTATGTGTGGTAAACGAGAAGAAATCGACGGTGACAATCGAACCAACTAGTCTTCCTACCATGTTTCAACTGAAACGCATCTGTCATTCCATTACAATATGGACAAGCTAATCTCCCATGTGTAGTCCACCCAGACAACATCCCATATGCATGAAAGTCACTTATGGTCCACAAAAGCATCGCTCGCATCGTAAAGTTTGTTTTCGTTGAACAATCATATGTCCTCACCCCTGTTGACCACAAATATTTCAACTCTTTTATCAGTGGTTGTAGAAAAATGTTGAGAGATCTTTTTGGATGTTTTGGACCAGGTATTAATATGGTCAAGAATAGAAACTCTCGTCGCATGCACATCTCCGGTGGCAGGTTGTACGGTGTAAGAAAGACCGGCCACAATGAATATTGTCTCCCAAACATTCCAAATGGACTAAATCCATCAGTGCATAATCTAAGATACACATTCCGGCTATTGCTAGCGAAATGTGGATGTACATTGTTAAAATGTTTCCAGGCTCTTGCATCTGATGGATGAGTCATCTCTCCATCCGTCTGAGTATGCTCGGCGTGCCATCTCATCCCTCCAGCAGTCTCCTCAGATTGGTACAATCTTTTTAATCTGTCTGTGATTGGTAGGTACCACATCCTTTGGTACGGTACCCTATTACGCCCTCGACCTTGCGGTTTGAATCGTGGCTTCTTACAAAATCGACATTCTTCTAACTTCTCATCATCTCCCCAGTAAATCATGCAGTTGTCGATGCAAACGACTATCATCTCTGAGGGCAACCCAAAACTATATACCAATTTCTGAATCTGATAATAAGATTCAGCAGACACATTATCTTCTGGCAAATACTCTTTAAACATGTCTGCCCATGCATCCATACAATTTTCAGGTAGATTGTGATCGGTTTTAATACTTATCATTCTAGCAGCCAACGACAATTTAGACAGACCTTCTCTACAACCACTGTAAATTGGCTCATTCGCAGCTTCTAACATTTCATAGAACTTTTTTGCATCTAAGTTAGGTTCTTCAACTTCATCATCATCATGAGTTACAAATGCATCACCTACCATATCATGAACCCTATCACAATCTACCATTTGTTCCTCTTGGTGATGATTGCTATTTTTATTACGCAAATGATCAACCGGTTCAACCTGAAAATTGCTATTACTACTGCTACCTTCATTCCTACAACTAGCATCTTTTCCATGCTGATACCATATATAATAATATGACATGAAACCTCTATTTATTAAATGCTTCCAAACATCTTCACGAGGGCCTAATTTTGTATTGCAGCATTTCCGACAAGGACGGAACATCTTACCACTTTCCTGCGTGAGTGGTGTAGAATATGCTTGATGCATAAACGTCTCCAACCTTTCGAGAAATTCTTTCGTCACTCTCCCTTTATTATCCCTGTGTGAATACATCCACTTCCACAACTCGAAAATATTTCCCGAACCGGACATTTTTTTGTCTTGATCAAGCTTAAAGCTGATTTTTTTTGGTGTGTTTGAAATGAATCACAAATGGTGGTACTTATAGAAATTTTTGAATCTGAGCATTTACTAGGAAATTGCTAGGAAAAGTAGGTGCAAAACACGTTTTAGATTTAAATTAGATATTTTCTATCAAATTTCTCGCTAATTTGAAGTAAAAGATGATTTCCTCCTAATTTCGTAGTCAAGATTTACTAGGTCTTTACGAGGAAATGGTCTTTTCCCACGTAGTTTCCTCGTAATTACTACGGTCTTACGAGTAAAACGATTTCTCGTAATTTTACGAGGACGTTACGAGGAAACTTGTTTTCCTCGTAAATCTGAAGTAAGCTCATAATAAATTTACGAGGAATTATTTTCCTATTAAAATTTCCTAGTAAAATCTTAGTTAGTAACTCTCTTACCAAGACAGTCTTGGTCACCACTCAAAGCTCCTCTGATGAAATCACCTCTGATGATTTTGGATATCTGTTATCACTTCAGCCAGTGCAGGCTCTTGCTTTCAACGCGATATGAAGAAGGAATCAGAAATAATCATCAGCCCGAAAAGTGGAAAACTCCAGAAAAATATGCATAACCAAAGCAAAGAAACCTATAAGACATTTGTGAGGGATGATTATCTTAAGTCTGGGCCACCGTACATCAGCACTGACTGATGTCCCCTTTTGAGATTTTGTTGTTTGTGCATTAGGAGCAACAAAGCCATTTGATGTTGTCGCTTTAGAAATTTCACCTACGTTCTCCTTCTTCTTTTGATATGAACTGATGGAACATTCTTACGATCGGAGATATCCTCATGCTTTAGCTTCCATTCCGATTTTTTGCCTTTAATATAATTCGGGTCATTTACAATTTCAACTTGTGCTCCCTACAAAAAGCAAAGAGAACAAAAATGTTATTTACAATTGGTATTCAAGGTTTGACCAGAAATACAACCATATCCTTTAGTACATACATTTTCACGAAGAATATCATGGCTCTGTAGAAAAAGAAAATCACAAAGTGGTTACCGAGATTTATTTGGATCACGGAAGAAGAAGTTTTAAAAATCTGATACCTATAAAGAGAAGCTCAAAGCCAATAAGCAGACCACCTTTAGTTGTGTTTCTCGACTCCCATAAATGGATTGCCGGAAGCTTAGTTCTGATTCGTTTGGACCGAGGAGATGTCAGTGACATATAGGGCGAGAGGAGACTTTCGAAGGATTTATCAGATCTCATGGCCATAGCTTGATCTTCGAAGGTTGTAGACTACGGTATCGAGAAAGAGATTAAATAGAGAAAAACAAAAGGAGGTGAAAGGATACATCTTGAATGAAAGTGTAAAAGCAGAATCAATGAATCACAGTAATTGAGATTTAAAGAGAGTAGAAACTATAGCCTCGGGAAGTCGAAAGGTAAGAGAAGCACATCGACTTTCTAGATTTCTCCCCAAAATTAACCAATTATGAAATTAGAAATAACCAATTATCAAATTTGAAATTCAGACGGAAAACCAGACCAGGTTTGGAATAAATTAACCAAAGCCAACCTGGATGATTGGAACTCTATTATTGGTCAAATATAAATGATAACGTGGACATAGTAAGAAGGTTTTATTAGCGGCTTTTAATAGTGTAAGATTTTATAACAGAAGAGAACATTGCAAATACATGTGTGTGTTTCAACGTTGACTACAAATTTGTTACCAAAGGTAGATTTTAAAACAGGTTACAAATACCTTAAGTAGTTCCCTTTGGCGCGAACGCGGGGTTGTAGTTTGTAGTTTTTGCTTTGTCCGTGAAAGAGAAATCCATGTTTGTGAAGTTGGTGTTTAACTTTTGTATACTTAGAGGGTGGAAGTCAGATCATTAGATGGTAGGTATCTTGTATTGTTCTTGTGGACGTTTTGTATAGAAAGACCAGTTCACATTATGGGTTTTTGTAAGGTGGTATTTAGTTTCGTATAGAAAACCAGTTCAAATTGTGGGTTTTTCCTAAGGTGGTACGTATTAGGGATAAACTTGCAGACTCTCAATGGAGGTACATATCGCTTGTTTGTGGTGGTTTTCTTTAATGGTCCGGGGTTATTTAGGGATTTTGGGTGTATTTTATGAACTTGGTTCCATTTCATTTCAGATCATATTGTACCTTATTGACATAGATTCCTACCATTAGTTATTAAAAAGGGGTTAAAGAAGGCGTTTGTATTTGGGTTTTCAGTAATAAACCCGTCAATTAAAGATGGATCGTAAATAAAGCTCAACAATTTAATAAAAATAAACCCCAACTTTAGTTCCGCTAATGTTTGTTACTCTCCGTCACGGAATTTTAGATGGAGCGTGACATATATTAACAGAACTAAAGTTGTGAGTTTATTTCATTAAATCTTTAGTTGATGGTCTTTTTTACAATTCATCTTTAATTGAGAGATTTTATTACTAAATGTGATTAAATATTTTAAAATCTTTATTATCATTTATTCATTATTTAAGAATCTTACAACTGATTTATAAACCTTTAAAATAATTTACATTTTGGTTCAGAAATCAAAAAAGAAGAAAAATAATTCTATATTATTTCTTCTGAAATAGAAAAAAATACGAATAAACTTGAAATTGTGTAAAGAGGAGAAAAAATCCATTGCCATATTTTAAGTAACAATGTTGAATTTCTAAACTAATTAAATATCCCCAACATAACCGACAACTTTATATAACTTAGAAATCTTAATTATTTGATACTTGATAGTATTAATATTAGAAAATTTTATGTGTTTCTTCCTTTAGAAAGCTTTATCGCTTTACTTCGTAATATCACAAAAAATCATGTATTATTCCATCCTAAGAAATAACAGACAAACTTATAAAATCATCGTTAAACCTTATTAATCGTTTATTAAAATATTAAAATATTTACGAAACTTTATAAATAGGTTAAAAATTGATAAAGTAATATATAAAAATTTATAAATTCTTTTAAATGTTTATAAATCAATTGTAAGATTCTTAAATAATAAATAAATGATAATAAAAATTTTAAAATATTAAATCGCATTTAGTAATAAAACCTCTCAACTAAATATGAAATGTAAAAAAACCAATCAACTTAAGATTTAACGAAATAAGCCCTCAAATTTAGTTCTGTTAACGTATGTCACCCTCCGTCTAAAATTTCGTGACTGAGGGTGACATATATTAACGAAACTACAGTTGAGGGTTTATTTAACTAAATCTTTTGTTGATGGTTTTTTTTTACGATCCAACTTTAGTTGAAGGGTTTTATTACTAAAAATCCTTTTTATTTAGATTTTAATGTTTGGTGTCACTTCATTTTGTATCGCATTGTACTTACATTTGTTTAGACTATTTAGTTTAATGAAACAGGTGGTTAATAATTTATTCATTTTAGTTAGCATCTTACTTTATACATGTAAAGGTGATGGTGGTCGTTTCCACTAACAAAAACTGTTGGTGGTCAACAAAAATTGGTTGAGTTGTACACCGTGCGTATGTACATTCAGTTTCGTCCTGTAGATAAAACTGTTGATTGTTATGGAACTGTTTGAGATCCATTGGTTTGTGGGTTAAAATAGTCGTTTGAAGCAGCGTATTAAGGGGTTTTGCTGTGACCAAATCATTGTCGAGGATCTGTTGTTTGAGATTAACCGAAACTGCGGTTTTAAATGGGTTACTGTATATTTTTTTGTTTTGATTTTTGTTTTTGACAACTTTAGTTTTTATATTTGTGTGTTTTTTTAATTATATTTGTAACTAATATTAAGTTAATTTAATATAATTTATGTCAAGTTGCATAACTATATATTTATGCCATATACATTTCAAATGTGGAAATAACTATTGTACTAATCATTTATCAATTAGTCATCATCATGATCTAATAGAATAAATTATATTAAATTAATATTAAACACATAATTTCTTTTCACTGATTACTAAAAATTACATTAAATTAAATTAATATTAAACGAAAATATGAATACAAAAATACATGTAGAAAAAGTAATTTTAAAAAATTAAAATGAAAGTATATCCGTCTTTATTAAAATCAACTTAAAACCTGTTAAAACTCATTTTAACATCATGTGCTTTGTTAATGGATAAACTTAATGTTTGTGTAAATCATTCAGAATTTTGAAATAATTGATATCTGGTTGAATAAATCCTAACTTTTTTAAGCTGAGATGTAAACTATGTGGTTGTAGTGTGATAATATAAAAGTTAACTAAATCTAAGATTATACCGTAATAGTCTATGAAAATACAGTATTGTTTTAAAAGTACATTAGGGGTGAAAACAAAATAATAAGTGATTATAATAATAATCACATTTATACGTCATTGCCAATACTTTGAGGAGTAGTAACATATCTTTTTAGAAGATATGTCAATATTGTAACTGTATACATAAAACTTAATTACATAAACTATTTTATAAAGTAATGTGCTATATTAATCAAATAAAAAGTTGAAATTCTCTCAAAACATGGTTAAGATTACTAAATATCATAAAAAATAATTTGTGTGGAATATTGACAAAAAGCAAATGTAACCGAACACATTCACTAGTAAAATTAAACCGCATAGCCACTGAGATTTTATGGCTATAGAGTATAAAAACCGTGGCTATGTGAAAGAAGCCACGTTTCTATGTCGAAAACCTATCGTGACTATAGCTTCGTGACTAATAGAAAACCGTGGCTTTTAAGCCACGGTTTTGCCACTATGTTTTCGTGGCTTATTCAGCCACGGTTATGTCTTTTAAGCGTGGCTTTATAGAAGCCACGTTACGAAGCCACGTTACAGAGCCACGTTATTCGAATATAGTTTCGTGAATTTTATGTAGCCACGTTTACAGTCACTTTTTATATCGTGGCCTTTTACCCACGTTATAAATCGTGGCTTTACTTGTTTAATAACCCACGAAACAATAAGCCACGATTCTGGTTTTCGTTTTTGATTTTGTTTTTGATGTTGTTTTGTTTTGTTTTTGTTTTGGTTGCCTAATTTATATAGATTTTAATTTCTAATTAAATCCTAAACATACACAAATTAAAAAAACATGAAATTGCATTAGTAGAAAGTTGGTTTTACAAAAAGAAATAATATTACAAGCCTAATAATAAAATGAAACAAAAAGTTGAGGTTTGAGAGACCAAAAGAGAGTTATGGTACAAAAGACTTGTCTAAACCTTTGTATCGGGATGGCATTGTGTTGAGAAGGCTGAGCCGAAGGGTCTTGAGACTGAGTAGGCGCTTTCTGCTGAGGAGTTTGTTTCTGAGGAGTGCCTTGCTGAGTGGATTCTTGTTGGTCTAGAAGAGTTTGGAGAAGCTGATTGACTGCAGCTTTTGTTGCTTCCATATCCTCCTTCATCGTTGACATGTCCTCCTTCACTGCACCAACATCAGAAGTGACGCTTTGCAGGCTAGTCTCAAGACCACCCACACGCATCTCAAGCTCCAGGTTACGGGCAAAAGAAGATAGGACTCTTGCAGACGGCGGATGTTCCCTATACTGGTCACTGCCGAGTCCATAAACATGCCCCCTCTTACTTTTAGCATTCTGAGATCAATGACAAAAACAAGTAACACTATAACACAAGCATAAAGCTACTACAGTCTAAAATATTAAAAGCATACACTTACTAATCACAAACACAGAGATAAAATAGTGACATACAACCTTCAGATAAGCTTGGTTTAGCAAGAGGCGAGAAGGAGCTGAAGTTTCTGATGGACTTTGAGGTGATCCTTCAGTGTTAGATAGCTGTGTGGCTTCCATCTCAGCTTGAGTAACCAATTCTTCAGCTCGATAGTCCACAATGTCCCATCTTTGCGTGTGTGTGTCCTCCTCACATCTGTGTAGGATAGAGGTTCACCATTATTCTGCACAGTTTGTAAAGACAGAAAAATAAATTAGAGTTTTTTAAAAATTTTAAAGATAAAGACAGAAAAATAAAATAGAGTTTTTAAAAATTTTAAAGGATAAAGACAGAACATACCATGATATATTCATGCCTTACAAAACCACAAGGCACTGCGTTATGCTTGTGTTCTCCTTTACCCACCGGATCTGACTTGCGGCTTGTAGCAGCTTTCTTGCTCTTCTTCTTGGCTGCTTCTGTCGTCCAATACTCCATTAGTGTATTCCAGTCCTCATCGTTGATGTACTTAGGCTGCTTGTTCTTCCTCTTCTTGGTGCTAATCCTTTCACCTATCGACTGCCATG